CAGCAGGATTTTTAATTACAAGAACAGTTTGACTATTGTGCTCTATTTTAAAGGATGGATGAACAATCTGTGGGTTATGGACATTTTCCTTGGCAGCTGTTCTTTATTTATCATTGTCAGATTTACTTGTGTGCTAAATAAAAATATAATGGTTTATCATATAATTCAGATGAAAGCAATGAATTATGATGTAACAGCAATGCCTTTAGGGAAAGGGAGACAAAAAGACAGAGGACTATTTCATATAATACAGTAATAGCTTTCTCACTGCATCTTTCACTTAAGGAAACTAAAACTACAGCTCCCTGAAGTTAGGATTTCTGTAATTTCTGTCTGATGGGGAAGGTTCCACAGAACTGCATTTATAGATCAGGTGTTACAGAATTTTGTTCTTCAAGAAATTGTACTTCAGTCTTTTCTATTGTTCTAGAATTCTATTATTTCCTTTTCCTATCATTGTTCCATCAGTTAATACTTTGAAAAGAATCTGTCCCTGACTCTGTGGATGTTTGAGTGGCGGAAAGGAATCTACGTAAGCAGAATTGCATCGAAAACTTTCATGTCTGTGCTTACCTTCCAGACTGAACACAAGTCTGCTTACTTAAAATGCACTGGTCATTCAACTGTTCTCATTTTCTAGGGTTAGTTTAGAAGATTTTCTTGTTGAGCAGGTGTCTTGCAATGCTATGAGATAAAACAGCATGCCTTATCGCTAGGCCTGTAGATTGACAGCTTGGATCAGGTTTTCTAGGCTAAGGATGGAAAGTTACTTGGGGCTGACTTCAGCTCCTGCGTAGAGACAGCTGGAAGAGGTCAGCCATTATCACTAGACAGGCTCCCGCTGTTGCCTATGCCTAGCTGCTGCAGAGCTGGCACAAAAGATGTAGCTGAGTTTTGTTGTTTCTCGTCCTGTATTGTGGGCATCACCATGTTTGTGAGCTGGCTAGACAGAGGAGTTAGCTGTGTAGCATTAGATGACAGTCACCTCTGTGGTGATGTTCAGGTACAGCTCAGTTATTTTCTGCTGCTCTGTGTATGTCTCTGCTATGGAGCTTTAATGTGGTTCAGAATTAGTACTCAAATCTCTCAAATCCATCAAAGGGTTTGTAAACTCCTTTGTGTTTTGTCAGTGATGTTTTTACTCTAGTATCTGTTAATCGTGTCAGAGAATACCTGATTTCTCTGCTTACTCGACTCTGTGAATGAGTCAGAGGTAAGCTTGTTAAATTTCATTTGGCTCTATGAGTAGCTGCAGTATAAATTTCCATGTGTATAGAACATGTTTGCTTGATCCAATAATTGAAGGTACCATAAAATTTGTTTTCCTTAATCAAAGCGATGTCCAGTCTTCTGAAAGGACTGACTATAGTCAGCTATTTATTGAACCAGATGCTGATGTGTTTGAAACAATAAACTGAGTACCATCCAGTAGAGAGAAATTGTGTCTGGTTTGCTGCTGAGTTTTCCGACCAGAATCACAATAGGAACTCAAGTGAAATGTCCCTAACATATAACTGAAATACCAGATGTGGCTGGCTGTAAGGATAACTAGGGTATTTGGTTTTGTTCTCCTTATAATGCCAAAAAAAGAGGGTTAAGCCCCTCTCTATTGCTCCATTCAATGTAGCATATTCCATTTCAAAACAGAGCATTGGATATACGTAGGTCTGATTTTACATTCTCTATGAGACAAAATTTTTAAAGATTAGAAGTGTCCTGTCTAATTTTAAACTTAGACTTTAAAATTATTTGTTTTCCCTCTGGCATGCCTCAAGGTGCACATGACTTGAAACAATCATGTGTCTAGGTGCTTAGTTTAGCATTTAAATCAACACGACAAGAGTTCACAGCTTCAGAGTTGCAAATGGTAAAAGATCAAGACTTAGCTGATCAAAGTAATCACTCTCCATGCATAAATGTGCTCATCTGTTAATGCACACTAATATTTTCTCTGCAAAGTAGACAAGCAGCAAAGAAAATAGTCTCATGTTATATATTCAGAGCTGGTTTACGTTTTTTGGGGACTTGCTGTAGGGAAGATGTGTTGGAACTCATGAGCAAGAAAAGTAATTTCTGATCTCTGCATGCCCTCTATATAGTCTCAAGAGACAAATTCAACCCAGTGCAGTTTGCTTTGCAATTTTTCTGAGCAGGAAGTCATGAAGTACTTATAGCATGACTAGGTATGAGTTAATCCACAATCAAGAATATTTACTTTTACCCTGTAACTTTGATTAAAGACCAATGCAGTTGTTCTACAAATTGATTCCAATGCAACAGAGGATGGAATATATACCACATGCTTAATTTAATCATGAATATGTTTCTGTTAACTTCAGAGAGAGTAGTTACATTCTTAAAATCATGTGCCTGTTCAAATTTGTTGTTGTTCAAAGCTTGCATATGTAATACTTACCTTAGTTCTCTTTAAATTGCCAGACTGGTAAGAACACTAACTCTAACAGTCATCAATATTAAGTTATTCATAGCACTCGGGCATCTGTTCAGACTTCAGACTGCTGAACTTCTTAGCTCATACTAAAATAATAACACTAACAATTACAGCCTCATTGTTCTTTGATAGAAACCCTTTGAAAATCTTGTCAGCAAGAACTCTTTTTATCTCAACAAAACCACAACGTACAGGTCTGCTGCTCTTAACCTTGGAATTCTTTAAGAATCTAGTCTTGTCCAATTGCAGTATTATTGACAAGTGAAAGCTTTTTTGTGCTTCGTAATGCCTTTAAAAGAAGCACAAACAGTATTTGTCCATATAGTTTGAACCCCTCCCAACTTATCTCTCTTCAGACTTCTAGAATTTGTCTAATAGACAATGCAAGATCTTATCTACGTAAACGCAGAGTTCTGCTTGGAGACGGACACCCAAAATTGAAAGAGAGAGGGCTTAAAAAGTCTTTCAAAGCATGATCTTGGCTCACCCATGCTTCTGTTATGAAATAGAAACATATTTTCTAAGGACAAAATTTTAAGCCTAGCAGCAGTTGCTAACAGTGTGCTGGGCATTGCACTAGTATCAATGGACAGAAAAAAGAGAAATAGTCTATACAGTAATAAAAGACCTCCTTTTCCAGTAGTTGGATTCTCTGTCTGAGCACAGTATGATCTGGGCCTGATTTTCCATTCTTTGTGATATCCTTAGTAACCATTGTCTTACAGTGATTCATATAACAACAGAGTAACAGACTGTAGAGTTCACTTTTCTCACCATCAGACGAGGAAAATACAGACATACTTACTGCCATAAACGCCAGTTTCCTGCACTCTTAAGTTACACTCCAAGTGAGAAGTAGCTGATATAGTTTGGAACATGCTCATTAGTATCAACATGACCTGAACATTGTCATGCCTTGTTTGTCCCAAAGATTCTTTGGCTGCAAACTGTCTTTTCATTTCCTTCTCATTTCTCACTTATTACTTCATCTCTCTTTTCGCTTCTGTACTTCTGTTACTTCTTCCTTTTACTCTCTCTTCCACCACCCCCCCCCCTTCTTTTTTTTCTTCTTTCAGGCGAATTGAGTTTGTTTTGTATGGTACAATCGCTGCCCTTCAGGGTCTTCCTGCAAATCCTAAAGTATTTCTAGCTCTTAATTCCTTAGACCACCACAGAATGAGTCCAAGAACTCAGGAGACAGCAGCTGCTCGAGCATAGAAACTATAATGTATTCTAGGATCAATGCTTTTATTTCTGATAGTTCATCAGTACTCTTCTTTCCCCTCTTGTTCTGCAAGCCAGTGCATGCCATAATACTTACCTTTGATTTTTTAAACTAGGCCCTGTTTGGATACTGAAGAGCTGTAACAGCAGTGATGAGTTGGAAAAAGCCCTTACCTTGGTCAGGTCAATTAAGGTTTATTTGTACACTTGGGCCCTGACAACTATATGGACAAATATTGTTTGTGCTACTTTAAAAAGCATTACAAAGCACAAAAAAAGCTTTCACTCATCAATAACACTGCAATTGGACAAGACTAGTGTCTTCTTAAAGCATCCTGGGGTTAAGAGCAGAAGACCTGTACATTGTGTTTTTTGTTGAGATGATAAAGCGTTCTTGCTGACAAGATTTTCAAAGGGTTTCTATCAAAGAACAATGAGGCTGTAATTGTTAGTGTTATTATTTTAGTATGAGCTAAGAAGTTCAGCAGTCTGAAGTCTGAACAGATGCCCGAGTGCTACATTTGAAAATTTTGTAACATTAATGTGGTATTAAACAATGTAAATGATTCTCTAATGTTTGTCTGTACATGCAGCATAATTGTATGGTGTTATAAATTGAAAAATAAATTTTAAATCAATTGTATGAGGCGAGAGTAATTCTAAGGCAAAATGCTAATAGAAGAAAGAAATAGCCATTTCATATAGGCTCTGGTCCTACAGATGTTGAAATGACTATTTAAATATCACCTGATAATCTTGACCAGGTGAAAAAAATGCAGAAATTCCTCTCAGCCTTTGGAGAATTTTTACAGGGGCTTTGTCTTCATATTTCTTTCATTTAAGTTTTATAGATGTATTTTCCTCATGCCCTTCTTAACTTTCTAGACAGATGAAATTAAATATGTTTGGCCTTGGTAACTAGAAAGACATCTATCTATGTAAGTCTGCCTGGTTTGAAGGTACCCCTTTTGGCCCTCTTCCTAGCACATGCCTTAAGTCAATCATGCACTTTTTACTCTTTATTTTTTCATTCAGTTTGCGATCAAAATATGACAACAGAATTGTAGATATCAATGAGATCTCAGTCAGGAAGTTCTCGTTATTCTGAGCCTTCTTCTACAGGTACATGAACTGACTTCCTATAGTGTTACCAACAATTAATAATTTGAATTGGGAAAGAAACAATTGCTGATGAGTTCTTCTTTTCCAGAAAGGTCAAACTCAATACAGTTGGAGTAAAAATTTAAATTACTTTGACCATGCTAGCTTGCTGTTTTCTACATTCTTAGTACAGTGAATATAGATTCTACTGGTCATAATTTCCCTTCCCCATATACTCTCTTTAGGAATGTGAAAAGACAAAGTCCAGCCCTAATTCTCAATCAAAATGTAATTGGCATGCTGGGATTTTTGAAAGTCATAATTCATCTTTCTTCTTCAGGATGATTTTCCTTACAAGTTCTGTAACATAAGGTCTTATTTCTTCAACAGTGACAGTAGAGTCCCAGGCCTTTACTACTTTCCCATTGGGGTCCACCAGGTATTTCCAGAAGTTCCAGGTTGGTTCTTCTCCTGTAGAATCTACAGGGGAAAAAAAGAAAAAAGCGGAAACTTAGAAAAGAAAACCACGCTAACCAATTCCTGACATTTGTTCATGTCACTTTATGAATAATAAGATGAATTTTCTGACAGACAGGGAGATTTAACTGGACAGTAGCCCCCTGAAGACTACTGGAAACTGTGAAGCTTGAGAGAGACAGACAGGCAGACAGGAGAAAGCACTATAATCGGTGTTGAAGTATATATGTGCATGTGTGTGTGTGTCTGTGCTATATGCAGTATGGCTATCCCAATGCTTGGCAAGGAACGAGGAAGGGAGTATTCAAGGTCATCTCTTAGTGCGTAGTTTCACTTTTTGATTGTTGAAGTCAATTATGTAGGCGCTTTCCTTCCACTTGTCCTACAGCTCTTGAGATAAATATAAATCCAACCTGCAGCAGTCGTGTCACAGGAGAAGCACTTTACAAGACTGCAAAGTGGAAAAAGGAAGATTGGGTATTGTATGCATACAGGAGAATATTTCAAGACCTGTATTCCAGGTTGAGGTTTATTAGACTAGCTTTTACAGGGCATTTGTTGTTCTAGTGGCTTCATCCCTGGACATGTTTTCAGAAAGTTAGACAAAGCTGTCAGAGGTGACAGAGAAATCCTGCCTAGTGCAGGAGGATGGACTACGTGACTTCTGACCTCCTAGAGCCTGACAATTCTGCACTATGATTCTGTGAACACAGTCATAGATATCTTTTTTCTGTCGGATGGTATTTTGTGTCAGAGGAATTCTACACTGGGGAAACAGCCCTCCAATGTTCCACAGTACTCACCAATTAAGTACTTGAAGGCAGGAATTGCACCGGCTCCACTGACTGTAATTTTGCTGAACATTGGAAAGGAGGCACCGTAAGTCTTTCGTGCAAAACTCTCTATTTCTTTGTCAGTGTCTGGTTCTTGCTGCCCAAACTGATTGCATGGGAATGCCAGCACATTGAAATGGTATGGGCCGAGGTCTCTCTGTAACTGTTGTAAGGCCTTGTAGTGGCTATCTGTATACCCACACTCACTTGCAACGTTGACAACTAGTGACACCTGAAGAACAAGAGAGATTAAAAGATGTGCTGCACATGTCAGTTTTCCAACAGGTAGGCTGGCATGCAGATTATTTTCATAAAAAGAGAGTATCTACAAAACTATGGCTCAACACTTATGTTTGAAACTACATCAAGTTCTGTTCACAATAGGAAGATTTAATATTTCTGTTATGTATTCCCACTTTGCAAACAGGAAGACAATCGAAAAACTGCTAAGCAAGTCTCAGTTTACAGAGAATCTGTTTCTTCATTCTGCATTTTTGATAGTTTCCCAGCATATTTAAGAAATGACCATCCAGCTAAGATATACAAAGCTGTATGAAAGAAACCTGAAAATTAATGTATTTTTGGTAGTTTATTTATCTGTTGTGAAGCATCTGTTGTGAAGCATCTGTTCTGCGGCATCTTTCCTTGTACAGAATTTAGTACTCATACAGAATTGGCTGATCCATTTATCATTGCTAGTGATGTCTTGACCTTGAAGCTAATAAAACCAATTACAGGATTTTTGATTGGTCTGTGCAGTATGGACTGTAAAATTTCCCACCATTTCTAGAGTAAATCTACTCAGTTGTGACAAAATGACAACAGTTTTTGCATAAAGGTTTACTGTCTCAATTAGACATTCCAAGAATTGAAGACTATCCTTTAAAGTCATTCCCATAGCTGATTATCTTTGACGTTGTGCACATTGTCATTCAGACATTACCACCAGGCATGTAACTGCCTGCTCAGATCCAGCAGAGAGGAGGATGCCAAACACAGATGAGCGCTACAGGAAAACAGAGGCTTGTGTAAGGACAATACATGGTGGAACAGATTCTGCCAAGAGCTTCTTGGGGAAATTAAGTGACCTAACCCTGAGCTACACATATTACACAGTTTCTGAAGGCTTTGAAGAGCTTTCCATTGGCTTTTGAGATATTTTATCCTTAAATAACTTCTAGAAATTATTTTCAGACTTAACAGGTTTTGTTCTTACAAATTTTGTGAGTTGCTTCTTGTTCTACATAAATTGAGTCCATTCTAATATTTTCTTGAGAGTGGATTAAAGCTGAATGTCACAGATCTTTTAGATACAATACGATTTTATTAATAAAAATAGCATTATGTGCTTTATAGTTATATTTCTTTTACAGATAACTACATTCTATTCCTTTTTTCAGATCAATTTGTTAAGAGTCTTAAGGCAGTATAAATATTGTAATACGAAAAATGTTTCTACCCACCTAGATTAAAATCAGGTATAGTGCAGAAAAAGCATTATGATTTGGGAACCAAAATTCTATGTGATTTACTCTGAATCCAGTGCGTTTCTACAGATTATACATCAGCCCAGAAGCTGGTCTTTCCTTCTCAAACTGGAAAAAAAGTTTTAATTCAATCAAAGTAGCCAACATGTTCCCCAATGCTGGTACAACAGCAGTAGCTATTTACATTGGATCTTTCCACAGGAGTTTGGCAGTTTCATGGAAGCTGGCACGTTGGTTTCGTTATTGTCAGTGTGACAGCAGTGTTGAAGGGCCCAGTGCCGCAAGAGGAAAGCCTGAAGCTTCCATGCATTAACTGACCTGATCAAATTACACAGCAAGTAGCTGCAGGGCAAGAAAAGGAAGTAAAAACTGACTCCAGGTCTCCTACTCTGCTGTCTGTGACAAGTGGCTTTGCTCAATTTAAACTTTGGATTCTAATGTTGCTATTGTTGCATATTCCTGTGTGTATGGTTTTTATACAAAGTATAAAAGTATATAGGAAATATGAATAGAGTGCATCCAATAAATTGTAATATATGAAAAATAAATGACTACATGTGGCCAGAAAACAAACTGGCATGTAAAAGCCCACAATCTGGGTAAGGTATGGGATAATAAGACAAAATCACTAGAAGGGGTAGGAATGGGTAAAGAATAAACTAGGGGGATGTTGGTGTTTATCACTTCTTCCATTAAACATTAACACTTACTTTGTGTATTTTGTACCTTCTATAGGTATATGGCTACATTTAAAGTGGTTTCGGAGCGGCACTGTTCTCCCTGGAAGACAGGTAATCTCACAAAGCAGAAGTTGATGTGATCTTCTTTGTGGTGTATTGTGTCAACACTTGCATATGAAATATGATCTGGAGCCGTCTGGCTAACTTCCAAAGCATTCATTCAGATTTTTATTTAAAAGCGCTACCTGAAATTTTAAATTCAGTCTCCTAAAACATCCAAAGATTTGGTATATAATTAGGCTTGGGTGTTTTTTCAGAGAAGAGGTAATAATTTTATGGTGCACTCCTGTTGCAGACTGTCAGCATTTCAAATAGAACTTATATAGCAGACATAAAAAATAACTATGGGCACTTCTATTCTCTTTAAACAATCTGTATTTACCAAGCATAGTGAAAACTAAAGTTTAGTATCGTGGAATCAGAGAATGGTTTGGGTTGTAAGGGAACTTTAGAGGTCATCTAGCTCAGCCCCCCTGCAGTGAGCAGGGACATCTTCAACTAGACCAGGTTGCTCAGAGCCCAGTCCAACCTGGCCTTGAATGTTTCCAGGGATGGGGCCTCCACTACCTCTCTGGGCAACCCGATCCAGTG